AATACTCAGTTTTTAACTTTGCTTTGTACATTTACATATGGTAAAATTTATATTTTCTGTTGTAGAGTTCTAGGATTCTAACAAATGCAGAGATGTTTAACCAGTCCCATAATGAGGATACAGAATGACTGCATCACCCCAAAAACATTTCCTCACTAGATTCCTTTGTAGCCAAACACTCCCTCCATCCTGAACCCCGGGCAACCACTGTTCTATTGTTTTGCATCTCCAGAATGTCACTAAAATGAAATCAGGTAGACTTTAAAGTCTGGCTTCTTTCACCCAGCATAATGCAACCGAGATTCATCTGTACTGCTGAGTATATCAATACTTCATTTCTTCTTTTTTTTTTTAGTTGGAGTCTCACTCTGTCGTCCAGAGGCTGGAGTGCAGTGGCACACTCACAGCCACCTCAGCATCGACTTGCTTGGCGATCCTTCTGCCTCAGTCTTCCATGTAGCTAGAACTGTATGCATGTGCTACCACACCTGGCTAATTTTTTTTATTTATTGTAGGGACAAGGTCTTGCCAAGTTGCCAGGGCAGGTCTCGAACCTGTGGAATCAGGCAATCCAGTTACCTGGGCCTCCCAAGGTGCTGGGATTACAGGCTGAGTCACTGAGCCTGGCCATTTCATTTTTTTTTATTTGTGAGTAGCATTCCACTGTGTGCATGTACCACAATATATTTATAATTCACCAACTCAAGAACATTTGGGCTGTCTCAGTCTTTTGGTGATCATGAACAGAACAGCTCTAAACATTTGTACAGTTTCTAGGAGAACAGCAAATTTTACTTCTCTTAGGCAATCAACAGGAGTGCGATTTGCATAGTTAATTTTATAAGAATCTGCCAAACTGTTTCCCAAAGCGGCTGAACCACTTCACAGTCCCATAACCAATATTTCCTTACCAATACTAAGTATTGCCAGATTTCTTTTTCTTTTTTTTACATATTCTGAAAGGTGGGTAGTTTTCTTTTACTGTGGTTTAATTTGCATAATAATAGTATTAATGATGATGTTGAATATCTTTTCATATTGAATTTCAAATCTTTTGCCCATTTAAAAATTGGGTTGTTTTCCTTTTTTATTTTTTTGAGTCAAGGTCTTACTCTGTCACCCAGGATGGAGTGCAGAGGCACAATCACAGCTCACCGCAGCCTCCACCTGGGCTCAGACCATCCTTCCACCTCAGCCTTCTGAATACCTGGGACTACAGGCACCCACTGCCACAGCCCGTGGGTTCGAGACCAGCCTGAGCAATTTGGCGAGACCTCGTCTCTACAACAATAAAAAAAATTTTTTTAATTAGCCAGGAGTGGTAGCGCACATCTGTAGTTCCGGCTACTTGGAAGGCTGAGGGAAAGGATCGACAGAGCCTAGCAGGTCGACACTGGGGTGGCCGTGAGCACACCACTGCACTCCAGCCTGGGCGACAGAGTGAGACTCCAACTCAAAGAAGAAAAAAAAAAAGAATATTAAGAGCAGACATTCTTGATTCCTTCCCAATCTTAGGATGAAAGTATTTAGTCTTCCATCATTAGTTGCAGGTTTTTTGGTACACACTCTTTACCAGGATTAAGGAAGTTCTCTTCTATATCTAGTTTTACTGACAATTTTTATAATGAATGGATATTAAATTTTCTTAAATGCTTTTCGCAAATCTATTGAGAATTTAGATTGGATGGTGAATTACACTGACTGATTTCCAAATGTTGAATAAGTCTTGATTCCTAGGATAAACTCCACTTGGTCATGATGTATTATCTCTTCTCATATATTTTTGAATTTGATTTGCTAATACTTTGCTAAACATTTTTATGTCTGTGTTCATAGGAGATGCTGATCTATACAGTTTTCTATATTTGTAATGTTGGTCTGGTTTTGGTACTAAATTAATGCTGGCCTCACATAATAAGTGTTCTTGCCTCCTCTGGAAGAGATTGTATAAAACTGGCCTGGTTTTGATTTGTTAGAAGGTTTTTAACTGTAAGTTCATTTTATTTAATAGATATGAGATTATTCAAATTATCTATTTCTTCTTGAGTGAGATTTCGTAGTTTGCATCTTTCAAAGAATTAGTCCATTTTATCTCAGTTTTTAAATTTCTGGACACAGAGTTGTGTATACTATTTCCACTACATCCATTTAACGTGTACAGGGTTGTAGTGATAACCCCTCTTTCACTCTGATAATAGTCATTTGTATCTTCTCTCTTTTCCTCATTTTGTATTATTACAGGTTCATCAATGACCTTTTGGTTGCACTGATTTTTTTCTTTTTCTTTTTGAGTTGGAGTCTCACTCTGTCACCCAGGCTGGAGGGGAGTGGCACACTGCCGGCTACCTGCAGCCTTGGCCTATTAGGCTCAGTCAATGCTTCCTCCTCAGCCTTCCAAGTAGCTGAAACTACAGGCATGTGCCACCATGTCCAGCTAATGTTTTGATTTATTGTAGAGATGAGGTCTCGCCACGTTGCCCAGGCTGGTCTGGAAACCCGTGAGCTCAGACAATCCTCTCACCTCGACCTTCCAAAGTGCTGGGATTATAGGTGTGAGCCACTGCACCTGGCTTTTTTTTTAATGTTTCATATTTTATTAATTTCTGCTCTTATCTTCATTATTTCCTTCCTTCTACTTGCTTTAACTTGCCCATTTTCTGGTTTCTTAAAGTGGTAGCTTAAATTACAAATTGCAGACCTTTCTTTATTAATATAAACATTTAATGCTAGAAATTTCCCTCTAAGCACCACATTAGCTGTATCTCAAAGATGTTGACATGTCGTATTTTCATCTTCATTCAGTTCAAAATATTTTTTAATTCCCCTCCAGATGTTTGTCTTCAACCCATAACTTACTTAGAAGTTTGTTGTTTAATTTTCAGGCCAAGCATTGTGGCTCACATCTAGAATTCTAGCAGGTTGGGAGACTGGGGTGGGAAGATCACTTGCACCCAGGAGTTTTAAACTAGCCTAGGCAACATAGCAAGCACTCATCTCTACAAAAAAAGGTTTAAAATGAGGTGGGCATGGTGGTGCTCCCCTTTAGTCCCATTTACACAGAAGGCTGAAGTGGAAAAGACTGCCCCAGAAGGTCGAGGCTGTGGCGAGCTGTGATGTGCCACTGCACGCCAGCCCGGGAGACAGAATGAGACACTGATACAAAAAAAGGGAAGTGCATTGTTCAATTTCCAAAATATTTGGAGATTTTCCCAGATATCTTTCTCTTATTTGGTTACTAGTATAATTCTAAAACGGTCAGAAAGACACTTTGCATGATTTCAATCTTTTTAAAGTTATTAAAGTTTATGTTATGGCCTAGGATATGATCATGATGAATATCTAACACTAAAAAGTCAATATTTCAATTGAACAATATATAACACTAACTGTGGAATAGTCTTTAAAAGCATCTCGTCTTGTTGCATCAATCACTAAAATAATGTCAAAACACATAATTTAATGTTTACATGGTATTTTAATACTAAGTGGAACTTACCTGTAACAGAGATCTTGAAAGAACACATGGTGATTGTTCGCTAAATTCACAGAAAAAATCCTAATAGATACATAAAGAAAAAATAATGTCTTTAATATATGTATATTTTTAAAGCTGAAAATGCTTTCATACAGAGTAAAATTTTTACCAGACTGTCTGGAAATGATACAACACCAGAGCTAAAGTATGATAAATAGCTAAAAGTAATCTCCACAGAAATTGTTACATTGTATCAAAGGGGCAGTCAATAATTTTAGAGCCTAAAAACTTAAAAAAAAACTGACCAATCACAGAATTGTTGGATACCAATATTCAATATATATACCATGAAAATAATATTAATAATAATTTACTAAATAATGGCAGAACTTTAGTTTCTATTTCACAGAAATTAAATACAAAATCACCAGGTCAAGTGGATTCATATCACTGACTGCTGATGACTTTAGGGACCTAAAGACCAAAAGATAAAAGTTTATACACAGATAGCAAAGAAGACAAGAAAATACACCAAAATGCTAACATCTACAGATTGTGGGTAGTAGTTACCATTTTTATATTTCTCTGCAGTTTCTAAATTTTATAGTTTAATGAAAATGTATGCAATTTTTACATTTGGGTTTTAAGTCTGTTTAGCAAAGCTTCCTGGACTTGGGAACACCTATGGTACTGCTATAGGCTGGCAGGGAGAGAATAAAGATATGGAACTTATGAAGCCTCCTCTCCTGGTAAGCAAGACAGTTGCTGCCCAGATAACTATCACGGTGGAAAACGTTCCTAGCCAGGCAACATTCTCACTGAGCCCTCTACTGCAGCCTGAGGACCTTTCAAGGCACAGTACTCATCAATATTGCAGAGCTGGTATTCAAGACAAACTTATCTGACACCCCCATGCCATCCAAGAAAAGCAATACTACTGCAGATCTTGGGAACATTCCTGGTCTCTTCATCGTATAATATCCTTAAAATGGAGGGAAAGTGAGGGAAAGAAGGAAGGAAGAAGGGAGAGAGTGAAAGTAGAAGGATGTGGGGAAGGAAGACGCTCACTCAACTGTCAGACTTTTTTTAAAAAAGGTTTCCTTTTCTTCCTTGAACTGCTACTGCTATCCCTTCTGGTTATCATCTCATGGCTCTCGATTTTCCTTCGTCATTCTGAACAGCCAAGCACCGTATTTTAAATTCTCTCCTCTTTTAGAGGAAACAAACCTGTTCTTTTCAGTTACATTTACTATCTTTATGACCACGTATTCTGGTTCCTTTATCAGCTTTTCTTCTTCACACCCAATTTTAAGTATGGATGTCCCTTGTCTGCTTTTTTTATATTTACTCTTCAGACTCATGATCTCCAAGTTTAAATAGGTGCTCGGCCCAAATCTATCAAGTTTCCCTGGTCAATTCACTCTCTTTGTCACAATTAACTCTTAAACTCCACTAAGGACTCTAGCTTTTTCTGAAACATTAACACATCGTCAATTATCCATCATCCACTCTCCTACATATTAAAATTCTCTTTCTTTGTGTCTGTTTACCTTTAAACAGGCAAGTTTCTCCCACCTTTAAAAATGAAAGAAGAAAAGCGCTTATGTGCTCCCACATTTCTTGCTCAACTTCTGAGTTCTCTCCAAAGGAGCTGGCTGCACCCACTATCTCTTCTTTCTCAGCTCGAGCCCATCTTCACATGCTAACCTGGTTCTCTGCTGCTGTCACCACTGTCTCCCATCACTAAATCCAATGGACACTTGTTTCAGACCTTATGCATCTCCTTCATTTGACTTCTCAGCAGCGTCTGACTTCCTTCTTGAAAAAACATTCGACTTTTCTCTTCTTTGGCCACTTCTCAGTCTGTCTTATAGGTCCAAAATTGAGTTTTAGACTGCCCTTTTCCCTTGGTATATATACTTTCTTCCTCACAATTTTATTGCTCGTTTCAATTACCACCTGTACTCATTTCAAAATTGTATTTCTAACACAGAATTCTAAATTCTATTCATATAGCCAACAACTACTCAGTATCTCTGCTTAAATATTTCAAAGGTATCTCAAGTTCAACTTAAAGACCCTTATATCTGGTCTCTTTGAAAATTTTCCCACTTCAGTGAACAGCACCAGAGTACATCTAGACTTCCAAGTCAGAAACCTGAGAGCTTTCTCCTGCTCCGCATTTAATCAATCACCAATATTCTATCAAAATTTTGCCTCTCACATAGCTCGATGACAACCTCATATCATGTGCCTGCTATCCTCTAATCCAAGTTACCATCTCTCCCTTGGACTATAGTAATGGTTTCTTCATTTGTCTGTGTTTACTCTGATCCCCTTCTAATCTTTTCTCTACAATGTAGCCACATTATCTTGGCAAACTGTTCACCCAGTTATGTCACTATCTAACGCACACCAATCCAGATTAAAACTCTAATGGCTTTCCTTTGCTCTATGATAAACACCAAAACCCTTAATGTGGCTTAAATGGCCTTGCTTCAACAGCCTCTCTTTCTCACCTCATCAAGCTCTACACCTCTCCGTAACTCTATCTCCATTCTACTGGCTTTCAGTTTTTTAATTGTGTCATGTTCTTTCCCACCACAATGAAGAACATTCGGATTCCTTTGCCTAAAACCTCATCCCTATCATTCTAATTAATACCTGCATGATTTTCAGACCGTAGCTTTACTTTTACCAGAAAAACCTTCCTTGATCATCTAGGTCAGTTCTTTCATTACATACATGTTCCAGTTCCCTTCCTCCATATCACTTATTTTAGTTTAAAATTCTATAATCATTTTTATGATTATTTGATCAATTTCTCTCTCACCCTAGACTGCAAGTCCTAAAACAACTTAGATTATCTGTTTTTAGTCATCAAGGTATACTAGCCCTAGCACCAAGAAAGCACCCAAAGATATCTGAGTTGATGGATGGATGCATACTCACTTACCACAGTTTCCTCTGTACTCCACTTCTGCATTTCTTATTGCTATTATAGTACCTACCTCTGACAGAATACATTCCATGAAGTCCATTATTTACTGTATCTAAACTCAGTATCCTTCCTAATTGCTCTATAGCAGTCAAAATTATCGTATTCTGGGCTCCTAAATTGCAAGTTTCTCTTCACTAATTTCTCTCACCTCCTTCTTGCCATTATGTTTTTTTCCATGTGTGCAAAATGCCAAAAATGTTGAAAATGCAGAAAAAAGCAAAGAATAAACTATCACCTAGCATTTTGTCATCCTAGAAATAGTCACAATTAACATTTTGGTACTTGTTATTCCAATCTTTATTAAACTGAACTTGTCTCCATCTCTGACAATGTTTTCTTTTGTATGTGTAACAATGTGCAACTGGATATATATTATTAAACACAATCTAGTATTCATAAACATTTTTCATGTCAATATTTTTCTAAAACATCCTTTACAATGGTTTTATGACATGTATTCTACATATACCATACAATGGATAGTGTCACCATTAGGTATGTAAACTTTTTCTAGTTTCTCAGGATGACAAACAATGATGGAACAAACACGTTTTTAGTGCTTCTTTGCACATATCTCAGATGATTTTATGCTAATCTCTAGAGAGGAGCTGCTGGATCAGGGAATATACATTTTAAGATTTCTGAGATATAGCCACAGGAGTGTAGGAGAATGACTACTCTCCTTTATCAATTTTAAATATTACTACACTTTTCAATCTAGTTGTTATAAATTGCATGTAATTATTAGTAAGCCATGTTTCATGTTTCTTTCTTTTTAAATATGCTATGAACTAGTAATTTATGTCCTCTCCCAATTTACTGGGATGTTATCTTTATCTTACATAAGTGTAAGCACTCCTTATAATTTGGCACTTTATCCTAATAGTAACAGATTCTTATGCAGATCACGAGACCATGCGGACCATTACGCTCTCGTAACTTTAATCTTCTCCTACTTTTGGCGTCTACCGCCAAATCTTCTGTCCCAAGGCTTCCAGGGATCCAGTACAATGCCCTCTTCGTATCCAGTAGTAGCAATTCAGGCCCGGTTCCCAGCTCCCTGCTATTACGGTGTGCTATTATGCAGTCATTCCTCTGACACGGCAATCTCTAACCTTCTGCCAGAAGGGAACCTCGGACCAGGAAGACCCTGTTTGGAGCCGAGGAAAATATTAAGAGTGACTTTGCTGCTCTAGGATGCTTCTCATAACATGAAACAGAGTAGAAGGAAGAATGCGAAGTGCAATGACAGACAGAGGCTGATCCATGATTACTGTTTTAATGTGTGTGAGCCATGACGAAAACTAACTATTAGGCGATACCACTAATATTGTGATTACGGGTGTTAGAGACTGAAATATAAGGAAAATTAAAAATTTGGCTTATCTAAGTGACAATATTAATTATGGTAATTTGTGTTAACTACCTGCTATTTGTGCTCAATTCTCACGTAACATAATGATAAGATGGAAATGTATAAGAATAATTATTCTAGGTTTATGTGCTCCTTCCACATTTGGCAGCCAAGCTCCTGGCCCGAGGTTCTCATCTCCCTTCACCTGCACTTCTGCACTAGCTTCCAACACGAGAACCGCTTCCATTTGCATCATTTCACTTCCCTGCTCAAGAACACACAAGGGCTCCACAATTCAATCATAGTTAAACAACTTGGGTTTTATAACTTTTCCTCCACTTTAACTAGCCATACCAATTCATCCAGCTTCTCAATTCATAATTCAACACGCAGCCACTGCGACACTTAGAAAACCATTCTTACTGACCTGACAGTCTGTGATCACTTTGTCCACACTCCTAGGAAAGTCCTTTCTCCTACTTTTTCATGATCAAAACCCTACTCATTCTCCTGGAATGCGTGCCTGGAGTGGGCCATGGGCTCCTTAGAGGGCTTGGTGACAAGGACTGGCACGAGGCAGACAACCCAGCCCTCCATAGAAGAGCTTATCCAAGCCCAAGTCGCCCTGCCGCCGCTTTCATTCTGTCTTTCTGAAGTTCCTTCGTTTACCAAGAACAGAAGAACAGACTTGGTGAAGCAACAACACACATTAAGAGCATATTACTTTGCACTTAAACCTTACAATTCATCTGGAGAACACAAATATACATCCATGTAACAACTGGAATCAGAAAACTTGATCTGGCAGAAAATAAGAAAATTTCTAATTCCAGATATGCTACCGCACTCATTTAATTTAGTTACAAGCCCTTTAACCCTCAGTTTATTTTGCTGCAAAATTTGTAAAATAAATGGGCTTAGGTCTATGATCCAGTCTACCTTTGAAATCCCATGAATTATGATGAACCAAGAGCAAACTTCTAAATAGAAAGCAAATGCAATAGAAGGCAATAAAGGCATAATCAGCGAAAGCTTCACCAAGGAATAAAGACTTAAGCTGAGCTTTAATGACAAAGAATTAATGGAAGGGAAGATAAAAACATTACAAGAAAGAACATAAAACTACACATCTTTACTGATGATCAACCATATCCCAAAGACTGCTGCTAAATACTAGGAATACAAATTAGATACTCTATGATCTCAAGAAACACAGGTACAGTGGCAACCTGCATCCAAAATGGAAGACGTCACAGGGAAAATGACACGGGGCTGGCAATTATATACCTCAGCATGCACGATAACAACAGCCTAATGCCTTTCTGTGCACAATTATACAACACACATTAGTACACTTATGTCCTAATAATAAATACATTATTTTGCATATTTTCTACCTTCCTACTAACCTTAAGCCACTATAACCTTAACATAAAAAGCTTCATTCAGCCAGGCTCAGTGGCTCAGCCTATAATCCCAGCGTTTTGGGAGGCCAAGTCAAGTGGACTGCCTGAGCCCGCAG